ACAGAGAGAGACAGAGTTGTGACATGAGACTTGACGACATTGGATCCAGACTTGACATTTGGGATTCAGACATTTCGACGAGGGACTATTTGGGCTTGTGCCGAAGACTTGGTGTTGACGACATTCCCATCTTCCCCCTCCTCTTCGTCTATCCCCTTCCTCTTCGTCTGTGTATGGTATGGGCTGGTGCAGTCTTCTTGTGTGAGGCGCCAGGCCCATTTCACACCATGTAACGATGATGATGATGTATGTTCAGGGCTGCATTGCAACATTGATTGTTCGGATCACTGGTATCTAAGTCTTCCGTTCTGCTATCTTATACTTTGTATTGAAAGGTCGGTTCTTGTTCTGGTCTGCACATTACAGTATGCAACAGATGTGTACAATGAGGAAATGTTGGACACCCTTCAGCACAGACAGCGGCAGCTGCAATAGATTGATAATGTTGATGGCATAGATGATGAATTCCGCAGCCAAGACGCACCGCGTCCCTGTCCTGACATATGTCACACGAGAGTCGGTCAATAATCCAGAATAAAGTATGATTTGGCAATGCACACAGAAATTCATTTATGTGGAAAATAGCCTGAATTATTATCCCACCATCCCACAGTTCCGACTGGGAGGCTGCACGAATGAGTGCCATATAATGCCCGGGTCTGTGCAAAATACAGGCAGAAATGTGAGGATGGTCACTAAGGTCATCGCCTGGTGTCGCATGATGCATAAGAAGGTGGCAACCGTGGAATGCTAGCTGTAAGACATTTACAGTAAAGCCTCCTGAGGTAGTATAATTACTACCTTCAGGAGGTGGACCATTATGGTCATACAACAACTGATTTTCAACAGCGTCAAGCTGATAAGCAATCATGACAAAATGGGAAGCAGTATAACATTGACGCAGATCCGATTCAGTCACCACTGGAAAGCTAGGTCTGATCTGGCGGAGTCAGCGCATGAATGACAAACGCCGTCGACGTGGCAGAGCAGGCTGGCGGTACGACAAAGATCCCTGCAGATTAGCATCAACATGACGTCGAGAGGAAGGGGGACTGGGAGGAGGAGAGAATGAACGAACCTGCCGACGTCCCAATATGGACAACGAAGACAAAGGAGCAGCCAATCTCAGCCGGCGTGGGGGGGCAAATGAAGAGGAAGAAGGAGAAGAAGAAGAAGAAGAAGAAGAAGAAGAAGAAGAAGAAGAAGAAGAAGAAGAAGAAGAAGAAGAAGAAGAAGAAGAAGAAGACAAACAAACGGATGATGAAGGAGTTGAAGAAGGGAAGTAGAAGAAGAAGAAGAAGAAGAAGAAGAAGAAGACGC